TAGGCTATATGTATCGGGTTGTTTACCGGTATGTATATCTATGTATCGATCAGGCAAGCCGTAATAGGCTATATGTATCGGGTTGTTTACCGGTATGTATATCTATGTATCGATCAGTCAAGCCGTAATAGGCTATATGTATCGGGTTGTTTACCGGTATGTATATCTATGTATCGATCAGTCAAGCCGTAATAGGCTATATGTATCGGGTTGTTTACCGGTATGTATATCTATGTATCGATCAGTCAAGCCGTAATAGGCTATATGTATCGGTCTCACTGTAGATCTAAGTATCGATCAATCAACCCGTAATTGGCTCTACCGGGTTGTTTACCGGTATATAGGTCAGTGTATGTCGTGATATCAGTGGGAAAAAACAACTGCGGCATAAGAAAAGATTCTATGTATTTCATATATTTGATTCATCTTCCCCTTAACTTCAATTCGGCACCTGTCCCTCCCTTTCTCATTCCGTATAATATATAACCACCCTCCACTCCTGAAGAATGTCCCCACTTACCCCACTATAACGCTACGGCTTACATGTATATTTTTCCCCATGTAGGCTGTTTGCTGGCTTCCTAGTCATGTAAATATACTCTCCGTTAGAGGGATGAGTTAAAATCAGAAAGAGATTCAACTGATGTACGTAAAACAATGAAACGCATGATAGTCGGGTAGACTTGACAAAGTAATGTCACGTTATTGTCATTTGTTAAAAATCAAATGAGCATTCAGGATGCATGTGATATAGAAGAAGATCTGAAAAAGAAAATGAAGAAATTAGTATGATATATATAATATTAAGAAGGCACTTTATGTACACCAGGTTGAAGCGTACGTATTGTCTGACAATGGATGCACAGCACCCGACCTCAAGGGCCTATGAGACATCGTTACACTCTAAGATACAATAAAAGAAACATTGAATCACACAAAACCAATAAGTATATTTATATGCCATTTATACGTATCACAAATAGACCTAGGCCAACAGTCGTTTCTATACCCGATCATATACACACCTCCATAAATATCTACATGCTTATACGAGCATACATACATTCAAGTGTTAATGTATATTCGTAAACACCAACACAGACAGACACAACTATTTACACACACCTACACAATCACACATGGACACATTTACAATTACACTATATTTACAAGCCAAGGATAATAGTACCATAGGGCCAGACATTTTTCTTTTGGTTTACGGATGTTTGGCCCCAAACTTATATGGATAGGATGAAATATAATAAATAAATCGTATTACAAATAAGTAACATTATTTCCTTAAACTTTGTATATTTTAAAATATAAATTTAAGTAAAAAGTTGGGATTGAGAGTTATAGGGTTTTATCATAATTCGTTGTTTAGTAGTTTAGATGTTTAAATAATGTGTTAACATTGATAGCGAAAGCAAATACATCTAGATGTTTCATTTTACTTATTTTTGGTCAGCGGTATAAAAACAACACTTCTTTTTATTTTATTTTTTTCAAATTTTAATTTTTGGGTGTCGGCGAATTCATGAAATAAGTTTTAAAAAGTCTGGTCCTGGGTAACAAATAAAGTAACCGTTCAACACAAAGAGGCAAGCAACTCAAGCAAGTGTTGCCCTGAATGTACACACTACGGAGTATCCATCACAATGAAAGTTCGACACTGTACCGAGACCTGACTCCTACACCTAATCCTTGTATCCCACCAACACAGTACAGCACTTAAACCACTCGCTCACGTGTGTGATAAACGAACAATATGCGGGATCGCTTGATATCAACGAGACAGAATCCCTTTTTAAGTCATCAGAGCAGAACTAAGTTCTTCACAGATTGCTCTGATAACACAGAGGTGGACAGATGGATTGTGAGCAAAGGTGTCAAAGATTACAGCAGACACGGCTATTACACACCATCATAGGATGATAGGGATCATAATGCATTCCTTCAAAAATATTAAGTAAGACCTTTATATCTTTATCATCAGCCAATTTGAACTTACTATCAAGGCGACAAATGCCCATTGATGGTACGGGAGATAGGGTATAGCTTGTATACATACTGGGGGAGGAGTGGTGAGACATGGAGTACTGTTTGCAAAGGTGGCCGACTGAGTTTTAATCCATGTCATAGCTTGAATATAGAACAGGCAGGTAAGGTTTGTCATTGTTTGCAGATGGTTGTAAGGTTCGAGATTTACAGCTGTTTATAGAAACGTGAAACTTCTTGTCGCCAAAATAAAACATGATATGTGTGGTGTGGTCAGCAACACTGGTTAACACAACTAGAAATACTAATCCGTCTACACGGCAAGTCGTACGTCGTAAACTTCGTTATACAGATCCGTCAAATTGTTCACTCTGAAATTCGAAAAAAAACCAACTTCGTATATACACGAATATGAGTACAAAACTGAATGTTCCGTCCACCCCGAATCGGCAGTATATTTCAGTATATATACCTATATAAGAAGAAAAAGAAGAAGAAGAAGTTAGATATGCATCTGAGATAAATTATCACATGATCATGATGCACTTAGATTCTGGTGTTGTACTTACCTTTGATGTCGCATGTTGAAATTAACACTCTTCACTTTCAGTGATCGTAAAGAAGATGAATGACTTCAATGGTTAACACTACAACGAAGTAGACGCCTGAAACTAATCAAATCTGTTATCGAAATGAAATTTGCATGTGAATAAAATACGGGAGGGCGTACTAGGACGGTCTCCATTATAATAGTAGCATTTACATTCAAATTACAAATTTCTTCCCTGTGACAAAATACTGCGTAAACTGATCCCAGTATGAGGTGTGGGTGCGACCGAGTTGAGAGTATGTTATAACGTTTTCTGTTAGCAGGTGATTGTGAAAGGACAATGGGTGCGAGGTCAAAATGCAATGTCCTCTGTCCTCTGTTTCCGGGTTATGTGCAGGGACGTGTCCTAGACAGGTGGGTGCAGCCGGTGAGATGTTGTTTATCACAGATATAGCCCTGTGTGTCATACCGCCATAGTGCAGCAGCTTATGCCTCTTGTGTTTTGGAGGGGCACTAGTTTTTTATCGAAAATATATGCCTGGTGTTTCATACCTTCAAAAGGGAGGTTTATAAGACATAAGAGTTATTGATACCGTCAAAAGGGAAGATTATAAGACATAAGAGTTATTGATATGAATTTGTATAAATTCAACCAAAGACAATGTTGATAAATGTTAAAACACATGTACATGAACACGAGAAATGTAGATATAGATAACTGAATAGAACCGGTAGAACGTTTCGTGACAAGGCAAATTATTATGAAGATCGAATCTACAAGACAGATGACTGTGAAACGCTGTAAACGCCTTTATCTTTAAGACGATGTTACCCAGACCTTATCTTCATTGTGGTATTTTTTCAAAGAATAACTAGATATTTTGCGCATTAGGAAAAAACACCTGGTGTCATCACTGACACCCCTGTAGGATAGAACACCTGGTAGAATCGCTGACACCCCTGTAGGATAGAACACCTGGTAGAATCGCTGAAATACTGGTTAGATTGACACCTGGTGTCATCACTGAAACCCCCGTAGGGTAGAACACCTGGTGTCATCACTGACACCCCTGTAGGATAGAACACCTGGTAGAATCGCTGACACCCCTGTAGGGTAGAACACCTGGTAGAATCGCTGACACCCCTGTAGGGTAGAACACCTGGTAGAATCGCTGACACCCCTGTAGGGTAGAACACCTGGTAGAATCGCTGACATGCTGGTTAGATTGACACTTGGTGTCGTCACTGATATCCCTGTAAGAGAGAGAACCTGGTAGGAACACCAACACTGTTTGGAATAAATGTCCTATGGGATCACACGTATGGGGGGGGGGGGGGGGGGGGGGGCGGGTATGGACACTTATACTGATCTCTCGGTAATAAAACAATACACTCGGTGTATCCACTTTCATCATTGCAATACTGTTTATCATCACTCAGTCTGAAAAAGAAAACAGTGTCGTCACTATCGACACGGTCATATTGTTGGACAGTGGCATAGATATTACACTATATCTAAATGCTTAGTCTATGTATTATTAACATAAATTTAAAATATCCAAACCAATTTAGAATTATGAGACGCGAGGTGTGATACTACACACATCTTCAATCACCAGATTGTCTGGTCCAGACTCGATTATTTACACACATCCCTCATATACCTGCAGTATTGAGTGCGGCGTTAAATAACAAATATATCCATTAATACTGACACGGGGCACCTTGTATAATTAATGACTCGTCACTTGTCTCAACCCTATTTCTGAAAACAACAAGAAGCTTGATTTCCATTCATAATCTAACCACTAAACGACTGATGCACCTGTAGAACTTATACACGCCGCTGGTCCAGGTATGAAGCAATGTACCATGAAGGTATTGTGAACTTCAGCTGGGTCGACATGGGTAAGCGACTGTCCCAGTGTCAATCTACGTCACGTTAGGCTGTGAATGGGAAGTAATAAGCGTTGTGATCATGTCGCTACAGTTTCTCACGCTCTCTCAATGTTGTTTATTTACTGTTATGGTGATTGATGAAACAGTTCATTATAACGCACTGTTGGGTTTTAATAATTCAGTATGTTTTGGTTTTAAATGTGGGCGTGTTTAAGTCGTATTGATTAAATATTCTCTTGGGACTTGTGTAAGGTGTGAGGCATGTATTATTTATCAATTTCTCCAATGATTCGAAAACGTCTTTGAATAGTTCAGCAGTTGCAAGGGATGAAATGAAAAATTCTCATCCTTTTTAAACACTCCTATTTTTTATGTGTCAAACCACTATGACTTCTCGCTTACATTTTCATTAATACTAAATTGTGTTACAAATGACTGACAGGAGCCCGGGGATGAATAAATCGTCTGCTTGTTGCCGGGAAATTATGCCAACAAATACGTGTAGTTGTGCGCATGCGCACACGTCGCCTGAAGCGGATTAACATCAGTGAGTGATAGAAGGCATAGCAGACGACAAATGAGAGCGCGACAGTTTTGACCACTGGCAGACGACACAGTATGAGAGGGAGGGCTGAACGGCGCAGACGACTGGTGTTCAGCTGTTTGGAGGATCGTGTCAAGTGTTAGCCGTGTGTTGAGCGTAAACATAGACGATTAGAAAAGACTTAGTCGAACACTCGGCGTATTGGGACTCTGGTAGCTGTGATAGGAAACAAGGAACGTAAACTACCCAGAGGGATTACCATAAACTGTTATGAGTTGACTGTTGAGGAAATGCATGTTCTACTCAAAATGTTCCCTTGCAACCGACTGGCAAACTCCAGAAGTGTCAAACCTATTTGTACATAGCGGATCAAACAAGGTATACAGCACCCCAGGTTATTTGTGTGTGTCTTATTTACAGCAGAGATTAACACTGAAGGGAGATATTTGCCATAGTTAATGTTTTTTAGCTACTTTGCATCTTACAGAGTCCCCGGAAGAAGAGATTTGTTTGCATCCAGTGTGAAGAGAACAGCAGAATCTCCGCTATCACAAGTCTGACCTGAACGCAATGCACAGTGTTAGGATATAGATTGTGGCGTCGGCATAACACACGTGTTGCCTTCTGGATGACAACAACTCCTGCTGCTCTTAAGCTGGTAGTTACAGGAGGGACGTCAAACTCTTGTGGCATTGATCCCGTTTCATCAAGGGGGGATCTCTGAGGATCAACCAAGTACTTTCAATATTGAGTCAACTTCCTTCACGTCAAGGTATATGTAGTTTCGGGACTGTTAACTAAATTCAACATGGAAACTTCACAGATTATACAAGTCGGGACAGAGTATGTTGCTGCGACTGAGAGAATCAATACAGCGTTGGCAACGCTAAGGAGAGAACTGGTAAGTAGTATTTTACTTACTGCTGTCGCGTCGTATATACGTGTTCATGTATAGTTACTGTTTACTGATTCATTTTCCGACATTCGCGCAGGTATAAGTTTTATGTAGTAACATGGGGCACAATTCCGTTACACAGATAAGCTTTGTGATAACAGTACCCTCAGGAGAGAGATGATTAACGTACACTTTAATGGGGAACCAGTTAAGCTCATGACATCGTACCCACATGTGCGAGTACTTAGAATTCAACATTTGTGATAAAATGTATAATATTATTTTACATTTAAATCGTATATTATCAGTTAAAATGTATAATGACCGAAATCAGTTAATATACATAAGAACTGATTATATAAGTTTTAATTTAACATATACGCATATATGTACACAGCATCAGGCTACACTTCAAGTTCAGCTTTGGTTATGGCATATGCCACTATTCACACCGTCTCTATGGATATATCTGCTAACGTACAGCGAGACTGATTACAGAACACATTGAGGTATTCTTTGGTTTGGTTAAGTGATACACTTACATTAAAACGAGTTAATCGTTGGTTGAGATGTGATAACCACGATCAAATAGTGACATGAAATGAAGGAATTTACTTCCAGACGATATTATACTCTTACTTCATATAGAAACACAAAAGCAGATTTACTTTAAACAAACCGTTGATTGTATTTATTCACTAAAACTTACTGCATAGAGTCTCGCAGGGGCAGATTTACTTTAAAAACATCGTTGATTGTGACACAGAAGCAGATATAATTTGAACACATAGTTGATTGTGTTGTATACGCTAACCTCATATAGTGACACAGTATCAGGAAATAACTCTTTTGAATACGTAGATGTATATTGCGATGCAGCTGTTTTTATGCACTTACTTGACATTTTGACACGGAAGGGATATTTGCTTTATTGCTGGACCTGTGATATGTACTCGCATACAGGGTAACGTGTACTGTTAAAATTACATCTGGTAATTCACCTTTTATATCAGCATTGTCCTGATTCCATGTACGTTTAACATGCGAGGTTCCATGTAATCCTTCTACATGCGAGCCTTTAACAAGCGAGGTTCCATGTAATCCTTTAACATGCGAGGTTCAATGTACGTCCTTCAACATGCGAGGTTCCATGTACCTCCTTTAACATGCGAGGTTCCGTGTACCCCCTTTAACATGCGAGGTTCCATGTAATCCTTTAACATGCGAGGTTCAATGTACCTCCTTTAACATGCGAGGTTCCATGTACGTCCTTCAACATGCGAGGTTCAATGTACCTCCTTTAACATGCGAGGTTCCATGTAATCCTTTAACATGCGAGGTCCCATGTACCCCTTTAACATGCGAGGTTCAATGTACCTCCTTTAACATGCGAGGTTCCGTGTACCCCCTTTAACATGCGAGGTTCAATGTACGTCCTTCAACATGCGAGGTTCCATGTACCTCCTTTAACATGCGAGGTTCCATGTAATCCTTTAACATGCGAGGTTCCATGTACCTCCTTTAACATGCGAGGTTCAATGTACGTCCTTCAACATGCGAGGTTCCATGTACCCCCTTTAACATGCGAGGTTCCATGTAATCCTTTAACATGCGAGGTTCCATGTACCCCCTTTACCATGCGAGGTTCCATGTAATCCTTTAACATGCGAGGTTCCATGTACCCCCTTTAACATGCGAGGTTCAATGTACGTTCTTCAACATGCGAGGTTCCATGTAATCCTTTAACATGCGAGGTTCAATGTACGTCCTTCAATATGCGAGGTTCCATGTAATCCTTTTAACATGCGAGGTTCAATGTACGTCCTTCAACATGCGAGGTTCCATGTAATCCTTTAACAAGCGAGGTTCCATAAGTACCTCCTTTAACATGCGAGGTTCCATGTACCTCCTTTAACAAGCGAGGTTCAATGTACCTCCTTTAACATGCGAGGTTCCATGTACCTCCTTCAACATGCGAGGTTCCATGTAATCCTTTAACAAGCGAGGTTCCATAAGTACCTCCTTTAACATGCGAGGTTCCATGTACCTCCTTTAACAAGCGAGGTTCAATGTACCTCCTTTAACATGCGAGGTTCCATGTAATCCTTTAACAAGCGAGGTTCCATGTACGTCCTTCAACATGCGAGGTTCAATGTACGTCCTTCAACATGCGAGGTTCCATGTAATCCTTTAACAAGCGAGGTTCCATAAGTACCTCCTTTAACATACGAGGTTCCATGTACCTCCTTTAACACGCGAGGTTCAATGTACCTCCTTTAACATGCGAGGTTCCATGTACCTTTAACATGCGAGGTTCCATGTAATCCTTTAACAAGCGAGGTTCCATAAGTACCCCCTTTAACATACGAGGTTCCATGTACGTCCTTTAACAAGCGAGGTTCCATGTACCTCCTTCAACATGCGAGTTTCCATGGATATTTTAACATACGAGTAAATTTCGAATCCAGCTTCAGAGAATTATTCTCATACGTACGATTGCAATATTGCTGAGAATAAGGTAACCGTTATATCATATAGGGTTAATATACCTTTCCACGATTAGGATTAAGGGATACAGATAAGAAAACTAGTGAAATGCAAGGAAGATATAAATTCACGACATTCATCTTTGTAAAGTTCCAATTGAATGCCAAGGTGTCCATTTTTAGGTACCCCACCCGTGATATTGCTGGAATGTTGCTAAAAGCGGCGTAAAACCAAATTCACTCACTCACTCCAATTGAACATAATACTTATCAAATGAAAAGAAAGCGTCTGTGTGTGAGAGTGAGTGAGTGTGTGCGTGTGCGTGTGCGTGCGCGTGCGTGCGTGCGTGCGTGCGTGTGTGTGTGTGTGTGTGTGTGTGTGTGTGTGTGTGTGTGTGTGTGTGTGTGTGTGTGTGTGTGTGTGTGTGTGTGTGTGTGTGTGTGAGGTTTGGAGGATAATCAGAAGTAATCTCATCAGTTCTATGAAAAAAGAGCCAGATTCTGACGACTGTGTTCATGTTATATTGATTGTACCCACAGCTGTAGGGGACTTTATCCTCGAGACATGAGCGTGAATTTTAGGAGGCAGTTTGATGATTACATTGTCGATTATATACAATGTCTTTCAGATGTAGTGCTAAGGCGACACAGATGTATAACAGTTAATAAATGGAGGCACGTGCAAAACGCGTCATGTTGAGGGTGTTTGACTCATGTGGTTCACAGATGAAAATTTAAACATGACATGTTATATATGTACACTAGCAGCTGGTGTTATTACACGTAAGCGTGGTTGTATATATCAATTATCAACAGAACATAGGGGTGTAGTGTTAATTATGATACAGTTTCTGAAATGTGGTTGGAAGCATTGGCTAAGAAATGAGGATTCACAAAAGGAACAGTTTGAATCTGTGTATTGATATGAAATATGAATGATGCATGACTGTAAACATAACTCATATGTGGAAATGCTTTGTATTCAGGGTAGTGATTCCTTCAACACAAGTTTTGTACTATACTTGTCGATGCATATTAGAGGTTTGGAACAATCTCTTGCAAGTTGATGGGTACTTCCAAATTGTAACTATATGTCGAAACCGTGTATGCGTAAATCATACTTCTTGTAGTGGCAGGTTAACGGAATACTTCAGGTCTTTGAATGACATTTAGAGTGAGTGAGTGAGTATGGTTTTACGCCGCTTTTAGCAATATTCCAGCAATATCACGGCGGGGGACACCAGAAATGGGCGTCACACATTGTACCCATGTCGGGAATCGAACCCAGGTCTTCTGCGTGACGAGCGAACGCTTTAACCACTAGGCTACCCGACCGCTCCGAATGCCATTTAGAAGTGATACACATAAGGAAGATTATTTAAGGACGTCAGCTTCTTTATTATGGGGAACACAACGTTTCGGAGCATATACTTACTCCTTCATCAATTGGAGGAGTAAATATATATTCCAAAACGTTGTGTTCCCCATAATAAAGAAGTTGACATCCATAAATTCTCTTCTTTAGTAATATTTCATGATAAAATAAATTCTTTCCATATATAATCAGTTACGTGCACGACGCGGGAAACAATAGATGATTAAACTCGGGTAGTACTGGTTCATATCCATGAATTTATTTTAATAAATTAGACGTACGGAATTCCTGTTCAGTGAAGGACCAAATTAATCAGAATTCTGCGACTGACAAAAATATGGACAGAGTCAATTATTATTACCAGTATTATTTTTGCACTTACTAACTCTCGTCGCCTTCATTTGTAAACAATAGTACTTGTAAACAGAAACATATTTACCACAATGGGTAATTTATCACTATTTGTATAACACATTCCAGGGCATTATAAATCACAGGAAATTGACGCTTGTCCTTGTGAAGTGTATTCAATATAGCCTGGGCGTCCTCCTTGGGTGTATTTATGTCACGACACCAAGGCTTCAAGGACTGGTCCAATATGAGTCTACATGAAACTGTTGTATTGTTTACAGTAACACTGGCCCTGTGTGACAGTATGTGTACTGCTGCGGTGTTAGAAACGTCCCTAACGTAGCTTTGTAATAACCCTACATTGTTATTACAACTGGTAAAAAATGCTTGTATTCTGCAAATTATAAATCGTTGAGATCATTTTGTTACATAAAAACAGTGAAATGCAAAAAACATAACGTGATAACGTATACACTTCTGTCTACATTTCTATCGTATATGTACTGAAGAGATCAAATGTTGTATAAACACACACACTGATATCCTATGAGCATGACCATAGCAAAACAGTTGTAAAACAATGTTAAGGAGAAAGTCAATCCTCGTTTATCCAGTGGATATATTGTCATAATAGAATGTAGATATAATACACTGGCTGATCGAGGATGGAGAAGGCCTGAGTAGTACTGTGATTGAAGACATCATGTGTTTCTTGTCTTTACTGTATATATTGTCACAAGCAGGTGCCCTGAACTCGTCAAGCTACACTGGTAATTCCGTTACTAGTGCAATGA